TCTTGTTTTATTCTTGCAAAACATTTTCTGCTATAGCACCATATTTGCTGGGTAATGTCTGGGATGCCGTGTGGGTGAGAGGGACTTTAAAGTTGCTTTAAAGATATTAAACCGACACTTATCTTATACCAAATGATAGGAACAGCCGCAAGGATTTGTAGTCATGGAGAGAGTGCTATTACATTGGCCTAGGCTGTCACAATTCAATTCTGGTGCAGTTGCTGCTGCTTGTCTCGATTTCACCTGGAAAGTCTGTCATTTAATCTTTTTTTCCAGGTTTTTCTTGGTAACTTGTGCTGATCACATCAAAACACACTCTCCGCATGGTCCAATAGACCATAATAGACCATACAGTGCCTTTAAAAATGTACTAAATGGGCTACAAGGCACTTAATAAAATGGGCCTCTTTGCTGTGCACAGATGCAGGATTTGTCAGCTTGGAAATGACTTTTGTATTTCTGCCTCATTTGTCATCATTAGTGCTCTCACGTCTAAATTAAAAAAACAAAAGTGTAAAAAATCAAGTGATAGGTGTTCTCTAGACAAAAATTTGCAATTAGCAAATATATATGCGGAGATGTGTAAGTAGGATTTGCATGAAAGCAATACACGTGGAGTTTCAGTCTGTATGCAAATATTTCACAATAGGAAACATTTCATTGTACAGTTCATCTAAAATTTGGTGAACTGAAATAAAGATCATAAATCTTTAAGCTACTTTGCTTAGCCAAAACTATGATGGTATATATGATAACAGCCACATCTCTCATGCGTCCTCATGCACACTTTTAGTGTGGGGGAACATAGGAGGATGTTACCAGATTAACCAGATCTGTTACATTACAGAGTGCACTGGGCAGCGCAGACAAACCGTGGTGCTTATTGGATTTTCCAATTTAATTTAGGCCCACCTTACAAGTGGTAATTTAGGAAAGTGGAGGTAAGGTTGTTATTAGAATGTCCTTTTAAGCGAAACTATATCTATAGCCTGGTGTGAACATGTTGGGTTAATGGTCTAGAGGGAGATACGTACTTCACCATTCTGCCATCATTCAGAGTAGAACTCAAAGTCAGCGACACATGCTGGGGTTATATAGTGTCCTGCTCCCCCATTCAGACCTGTGATCACAACATTGGGCAGAAGGAAGTCTCCCAGCAAGGAAGTGAAGGGAGATCTCCCGAATATTCTTCATTTTTTTTCTATTGTAAGCAGTGTTTGTACTTGAATTTGACTCTTGCAGTCCCTGTACAGCAGAGCTGGAGTGAGGGAGGCAGAAGCAGCACAAGAAGCCGCTCAAGTGTGGTACAGTGCAAGGAGCGTGTTGATAGGAAGAGAGAGCAGACTGACATATAGATAGGCTCATCTGGGTCCTGCTTCTCCTGTCTAAGCCCATCTAAACTGCTCAAAACTGCAGACTTTCCCCCGACTATGGCAACCAATGAATATGGCGCACAAAAAAATGAAATAACTGGCAACTGATCATGCACAGATTTTTCAATAAGGTGTGTAATAACAGTGTTAACAAATCAACACTAATAATTCTAATGCACACTTGCGTACATTTGGCAGTGTATGGCCATTGTAGATTCAAAACAAATGTGTTATGTCATGTGTGAATGAAAGATTTTACCTGTAATAAGGCAATGAAGAGGAAGAAAGCATTGGCAGCTCTTCTGATCTGCTCGTAGAGGAATCGAGGTAGGAACGTTACCACGCTGTATTTGGCTGTGCTGTAAAAAGACAGACAATGCTTAATTTGCTTTTCTACAGCTAAAACAAAACATCAGCTCCATTATACATTCATGACTGCACTTATTACTTGCTGATATTCTCAAATATGCTTTTTTGATCATCTTGACAATGTGCCAATTCCTCAATGACTCAGTTTCACTAGAGCTTCCAGTGGTACATCTGTCATTCATCTGTCAAATAATACTATTAGTAGAATCTAAGCAACCCATAGACATGAGCAGACAAGACATCCAATCTGACTATTTTCATTGAGAATTTCATCTCTATGGGGGTAGGCACATACCCACTGCCCCAAAGCTCTCCCAGTCTCTGTCAGCACAGATCACTCCCTCCATTGCCATAACCTTGTTAAGCACACTTTATGAAGAGTGGTCAGATTTGCTGTCAGCTAGATAGTTCTTAAACATCAGACTTCTCTCCAATGTCCATTTATTGACTAACTTTTAGCTTTAGAACATCTCATAATCTCAGATAGAGTATATCTGGTTGGTAGTAGCAAGGGATAGTGATTAAACAGCAAAAAATAAACTTAAATACCTGGTGTGTGGTTTACTCTTCATCTTGTGCACTTTTTACAATATATGATTGTATATTTCAATATAATAGTTTTACAATTTTGGATTTTTCTTAGAAATCATATAAACTAGCAGGTCCGTTTAAGATGGCACATCGGGGAGCCTGTATGTGAAGATGGCCTGAAGAATGCAGCTGTCAATGCCTATTCACAAGTGATACCCCTGAGTAAAGGATCACCCTTTTTGTTTTCACCCATATCATATGATTCTAAAAGTGACACTAAACTTGGGACTTAAACCTTAAAAATATATTTAATTACCCTATTAACAAAAATGTTGCCTATTTGTGCAGCTTAGCTATAGATCTTTTAAATCATGCTGACACTGTCTTTCATTCTGGAGGGTGGCTACTTTTTTTCCCCATCGGCCACTGCTCCAAGTCATCCCCATGATGGACTACAATCTCACGTTTAGTTTACTAATTTGTATTAAGATTGTAGTCTATCATGGGAGCGAGCTTGGAACAGTGGCCCATGGGGAAGAAAAGTAGCCACACTCCAGAAGGAAGGACAGTGTCCACACCAATTCAGAGATGATTTAAGGATCTACAGCTGAATATTGCACAAATAAGCTACGTTTTTGTTAATAGTTAAGGTACTTGAATGCATGTTTAAGATTTAACTCCTGAGTTTAGTGCCATTTTAAGACTGGCTTTGCAGCTGTGTATAACATGTGGGAAAACATGCTTTACCACAATGCACAATAATTAATGAGTAGTATCACTTCAAGTTGTAAATTCATAAATCTGTTGCCAACACTCATGGATAGAAAGCCATGTGTATTAAAGGAGAACTATGGGGTCAGGGCTTTTCCCCATAGTTCTCGTAAGGGTAACGGGAGGACACAAACTAGCGTCCTCCCGTCACCCAAAGCTCAGTATACCGCAAGCTACAGATTGCGGTATACTGAGACGCAGCAGCCGGGACGGATCCCGACATTACTGTCTGGATCCACCCAGCTGCGTGAGTGACAGCTGGCTTTGCCTATCTAGAGGCAGAGCCAGCTGTACCCGCCTCCTCCCCCGTCTGTTCTACCAGTCAGCACCGGAGGATCGGACAGGGGAGGGGGGAATCCCTGCAGGGAGCCGTGAGTGACAGTCATGGCTCTCTGCAGGGACAGGATCGAGAAGTTCGCTCACTTCCCGATCTATTGAGCCGACCTGTGACAGTTTAATTGTCACAGGTCGGCTAGAACTATGAGGCTGAGTGATTTTCACTCGCCTCATAGTTCTCCTTTAAGGACAGTTCTTGCCTATGGTGAATGAGGGTGTTAATACATATGGCTATGTTCCTACATTCTAAACATACTTTAGACACTCAGTCCTCAATGTCAGCATCCACCCACCCATCCATAACCACCAAAAATACAAGCACATTTACTCCACTTTTGTGCAAATAAGTACCGTAAATAATAATATGATCATAATAATAATGCATCACAAAATACTATAACAAAAGTCTGTCAATACAAGCAAATAAAATCTACATAAAAGACAGTTAAAGTCGAAATTAAGTATGTAACAGTATATAACAGTATATCTTGTATATTGAAAGCACTTTATCAGATTCATTTATCACTTCCCACAGATCTGCTGCCCTTTCAAATTGGAAGATATGACCTACAAAATATAGGTAGGTCATAGTGTGCCAATATAGAGAACCTTTATAATATTACACAAAGGCATAAAATCTCCAGCTTGTATCAAAAAAGAGGCTGCATCCCCATCAGAAATAAGGCAAAAAAGACTCCACATAGCACTTAAGGGAGCACCTGTTCCAGCACAACTTTCAGCAGAGCACAAACAGCCACTGTACAGCGTGATAACTTCAGCTAGTCCTGCTCTATATGCTTTATCATCAAGACTTGTTCAGGAGCATCTGTACCTAAGTATGAGTAGTCTTAAAATGTATGCAAAGTAGGGATGCACCAATACTGGTATCTGTACCGATACCCCGATACTAAAAACTGGTTTGCTGGGGACCTCGGCAGCCTTCTTGAGAACCACGCAGTGCCTGTTTACAGCGCTTCCACTAACTGCACACCTCCTGAGACGCTCCACACCACTCCTAAGACCCTCTGCACCACTCCTGAAAACCTCCGCTCAAGACCCTGGAGCAGCACAGAGTATATAGCAAAATATAATCCTACATTGCTGTATAATGTATTGCTGGGATTTGTAGTCCTCTATAGCTGATGGTATTATTCTGCATTACTGTGTAATGTTTTGCTGAGATTTGTAGTGCCTTTACAGCTTGGAGTCAGTGGCAGAACTGCCAGGGTCGCAGCATTTGCACCACTGTCCTAAAATCATTAGTCTGTATCGTTTTAGAAAAACTGTCACATGACACTAAAAAAAAAAGGCATCGGTAATTGGTATCAGTGAGTACTTGAGGTAAGTATCAGTACTCAGTCTGGAAAAAATGGTATCGGTGCATCTCTAATGCAAAGCCTAACAATGAAAATCTTTTATTTGCTCCCATTTTGGGCTGTTAAATATTAACAAGTGTTGTGTTTTGTTATATATGTTCAATAAGCCCAAAATACTTGCTGATCCATCCAGAAATTGGTAACTGAACTGGTAACTTTATGTGCTCTCTGCCTGTGCTGACCGCTATCAATCGGTGACCCATTTCTCTATCTGAACTACCAAACTCCTTCACCTTGTTACAGTATTGAGGAGAAGGGGGGTTCTGTTGGCCTAGCACACTTCCTGTCCTAGGGCGATAACACTGTTCCTCCCTACATACAGTACGTTGAGCACTGTCACCCTGGGACAGGAAATGTTACTGGCAGGATTACCAGGTGAAAATAAAGGTAAAGCAACCTGGAAAAAAAAGACAACAAATGTAGCCACCAATCTAAGGACTAATAAGTTACATTTTTAAAAACACTTTGATAATATGTGGCTTTGGTCATCTATATAAAACCGATCTGGGTTCTGAGAAGACAGAAGAAAAAAGAACACAAATTAGGTGGAGACATGACCGATGCCATGGGGTCTATAAGAACTGCAATGAGAATCTATAAGAATCTGAGCGGCCCGGAAGTCCAGACATAGCTGAACCTCACATGTAAACTAGCAGATTTGATGGATTTAGAAGAAAGCCTGCATGACGAGGGATTGAATATGTACCTGATGTAACACCGGTAAGTGTATTTCACCCCAGGGACACATCATTTAGCTGAGTGCTTTCAGGCCATTTTTGTGGTGTCTTCACTAATGACCATAGAACTTTGTAGCCGCACAGTTTTAGAAATCCTATCTATCATCAATAAGTACATTCTGCATCGGAAGGGAAACGACGCTCTGTCGCTCAGCTTATGTGGCTTTTTCACAAATAAGGGTATACTGATGCCTAATGATGAGACGGCAAAACCTTTACCATCCTCTTTATTGCATTTACTTATTTACTTTGTTTCAAATGGAATCGGTCAAGAAATCAATACCAATTCTAATGATATGGCTTTTAGGTGCTCTCTGCAGGTCTACTATTCTCATTCTTGCTTCACTGCCTAGTGAGTCACTCACCTGGAACCAATATGCAGCCAATGATGTAGCATTCCAGGGCAGTGACCCACTAAGGTTTAGTTCACATGGAAATAAAAAAACAAATACATTGCCCAGTAAAGTATTTCTTTGCATTTTTGCCAAAGCACTTACAGTCATCGAGGGGAATTTATCAAAACTGGAGCAGACAGAACCTGGAGCAGCTGTACATAGTAACCAATCAGCTTCTCTCTTCAGCTTGTTCAGTTAAAGGAGAACTATGAGGCGAGTGAAAATCACTCAGCCTCATAGTTCTAGCCGACCTGTGACAATTAAACTGTCACAAGTTGGCTCAGTAGATCGGGAAGTGAGCGAACAGATAGCGTTGCTCGCTCACTTCTCAAATCTGTCCCAGCAGAGAGCCGTGACTGTCACTCACGGCTCCCTGCAGGGATTCCCCCCTCCCTGCTCCGATCCTCCCCAGCTGAGTGGTGGAACAGACGGGGAGGGGGCGGGTACAGCTGGCTCTGCCTCTAGATAGACAGAGCCAGCTGTCACTCACGCAGCTGGGTGGATCCAGACAGTAATGTCGGGACCTGCCCCAGCTGCAGCGTCTCAGTACACCGCGAGCTGTAGCTCGCAGTATACTGAGCTTTGGGTGACGGGAGGACGCTAGTTTGTGTCCTCCCGTGACCTTGGGAGAACTATGGGGAAAAGCCCTGATCCCATAGTTCTCCTTCAGGGGACCAGCTGATTCTGCAGGAAAATAAAACTTTTAAACATCAAGGAGTATCATCCATTGTAAGTGATTTCATCAGCATTTGAAATTGCTTAAAAACCTTTTGACTTTAATATCACTTTAAGGTAGGTACTCATAAAACATAGCTGTGTTTATGTGCATGGGGAGCTTCAGAAGGGGGCAACCTGTGCTCCCTCCTTTTTAACAATGGAGTGAGCTTTTGTAAGCAATGACTAGTCTTACAAAGAGAAGCAAGAACATCACAATTCAATTAAACCTGGATTAATGGTAAGCCTTTGCGGTGAGTTGTGATAGTAAAACTTGATATGACACTTCTTAGCAGTAGATGTATAAGTCCCCTATTAGGCACTAAACCTATAAAAGGCAAACTGATACAAGTATGCCAAAACTTCAAATCCTTGGCACTCACTTTATAATTTACACTTGTAGGTTTGTGACTGGCTGCGCTTTCTTACATTAATATGCTCTCACCACAACCACTTCCAATAAATGGGTGTATTGGGGAATTAGTGAGGGTGATACTAGTATAACTATAGACTATAGACTATAGAAAGTTGAGCAAAGTAAACTCAATAAATGCATATCCAGTAAATACAAAACTTTAACTAGTTCTTGCCCCCAGCCTATGCATCAATGCTTAATAAAACAATGCTGATTCCGACAATGCTGGTCTCACACTTATTGGTTTCTTATTATGTAATCACTATGACAGTCAATCATACTGATTGCATAGTTATATACACAACAGATTTGGCAGTTCAGCTGTCATGGTGCCTCAGTCACCATTTTCCCATTTGTCTGTTCATAAAAAACATAACCAGGCAATATATTAAACCACATTAAACCCCTAACATAAGCAGGCAGTTTATTAAGCCTTATAAAACCCTTAAGATTGAATTCCAGGATAAGCAAATATTGTCTAAATGCAAGAGGAATGTGTATTCTTACTTGAATCTTGGTGTGCTTTTGTGTTTCCTCCAGATCTCTGCAGTAATCCCATGTGAAATGTTGCCCCTGGGTAAGAGTTTCCCACAATAAAGACCGATCACTGCTGCTCTTCCTCCTTGTGCAGGGTGACTGGTCTTGTCTCCGCCCCCTCCTGTAATAAAGACAGGTCGCTGCTGCTCTCTCTCCTTGTGCAGGGTGACCGGTCTTGACTCTGCCCCCTCTTGTAATAAAGACCAGTCACTGCTACTCTCTCTTCTTGTGCAGGGTTACTGGTCATGTATCCGCCCCTCCTGTAATTAAGACCAGTCACTTTTGCTCTCTCTCCTTGTGCAGGGTGACCGTTCTTGTCTCTGCCCCCTCTTGTAATAAAGACCGGTCACTGCTGCTTTCTCTCCTTGTGCAGGGTGACCGGTCTTGTCTCTGTGTCAGGGCTGGAGTAACGGGCCAGGTGTGGAACCCCTTGGCAGGGACGAACAAAGTCCAAAAACCGCAGTACCAAAGGATAATCTAATCGGGGAGTCAGGTCCAGTTCCGGGTCGTGGCGGGCAGCAGAAATCGTAGTCGAAGGGTCAAGCAAAAGGGTCGGTAGCCGGGAAGTCAAATCAAACAACGGGTTCACAGGAGGGAGCTGGGTGTTCACCATAAGGTAGAATAACTCAGCAATGAGTCAAGGCTCTGACCAGCTTTAAATAATCAGGGAACCCAGTACCGCCCCCAGGCTGTCAAGGCAACCAGGAAGCTTCCCCTGTCAGAGTCCAGTCACAAGGCTGAGGGCAAGTGGTGAAGGCTGAAGTCCTCCCCCAGCCTGAGTAGCACCTGTTGCATGGAATGGCGCGCGCGTGCACTATGCTCGCTCGTCCGCGCATGAGTGCGCGGCTTGCGCACCGCGCACGGGCACCCGGTGCGCGGCCACACCAGCGTCAGATGCCCTGCCAGGAGGAGGAGCTACCCGTGCCCCATGCCCGCGCTCTCTCCTTATGCAGGGTGACTGGTCTTGTATCCGCCCCCTCCTGCAATAAAGACCGGTCACTGCTGCTCTCTCTCCTTGTGCAGGGGGACTGGTCTTGTATCCGCCCCCTCCTGTGGTTTTCTGCAGGCAGTCTGTAGTGGATGGGGCCTGCTGGGTCTCTCCCACAGCTCTACTCTTTGTACAGGCTCTGTTCAACACAGTGATAATGATATTATTTTAAAAATGTTGTCCATAGTTTCACTTCAAAGTGCAGCTTTCCTTTAAGAGAGTGCATAAATTATACATGAACCCTGCATGATGTGTAAAAGCCCATTTTGGATTTTAGTAAGACAAAATCTGGATATCTTTACATCACATAAACTCACCAGAGAAAGATCTTATATATTGATGTGTACAGCTAAAGGTTTAAATCAATGTCCACTAAGCATCTGGGTATTAGAAGATCAGTGGAAGGAAGTCTAAATGTTGCAATATAACGTTAAAAAGTTACATAACTCCCTCTTGCCTTAAGCTGTATTTTAGCTTCTGGAAATGACGGTGAATAATTTATCATTCAGTTACGATATATACAACAGAAGAACACTGAGCACTATTTACATATGTTGAAGAGCAACAAGAACCCATAACAAATCCCATTTGGAGTTGTCATGAGACAAGTGGGTGGCACATAAAACGTGAAAAAATGCTCTGGTCTTTTGACACCAAAACTGATGTATCTGGGCATAGCGCAAGGCAAGATGTAATAGGAAACTGTTGTTGCTCATTGCCCTGAGAATGCCATTCCTACTGTCAATCATGGTGGTGGTAGCCTCATGCTGGGGGAATACTTTTTATCAGCCAGGATAGCAAAACTGGCCAGGAACAAGGGCATGGTGGATACAGCTAAATACAGGCCAACTTGTATTCCAGTTTTAGCACTTCAGGGTTAAATGTATTTTTTATAT